AAACACACTGTCTCTCTCTTGGCTCAGCCTTCTGCTTGGCAAAAGAGGGTTGTTACTCATTTCTCGGCTTCATGCAGCCTCCTCGTTTCCCCAACGGCATTGATCGATTAAGCCCATATTTAGGCCCCATTTTGCATTCCCACCCAATCATTCTGACACAAAAACACACACACACACACACACACAAACATGCAGACAGACAAGATAAAACGCTAACAAGGAGATAGCCTCTCGCTCATCACAACCAAGGGCAAGACGATTTCCGCACACACACACACACACAGAGGCACTAATTGACCCCTGACCTGCGAGTCGAGCGCCGCAAAGGAGGACTGACGCATCTCGAGAACCCATCTTTGTTGGCGCTCACGGCCGGCGCTCGGAGTGGGCGCAGACGCCGTCGGCCAACGGTCCCGCGACGGGCAGCCTCGGGCCCGGCAACCGCGACTGGGCGACGATCAGCGCAAAGAGGAAAAAGCGAAAAAGCGAAAAAGCGAAAAAGAGAAAAAAAGAAAAAGAGAAAAGAGAAAAAGAGAAAAAGAGAAAAAGAGAAAAAGAGAAAAAGAGAAAAAGAGAAAAAGAGAAAAAGAGAAACAGAGAAAAAGAGAAACAGAGAAACAGAGAAACAGAGAAACAGAGAAAAAGTGAAACAGATAAAAAGCGAAAAAGCGAAAAAGAGAAAAAGAGAAAAAGAGAAAAAGAGAAAAAGAGAAAAAGAGAAAAAGAGAAAAAGAGAAAAAGTGAAAAAGCCAAAAGCCGAAGAAGGTGACCGGCCGAAATGCCACCAGTGTTGACTTGGCAACGAGGCGTCGTATGATTTGGTTGGCGACTTTCCGCTTCGCCTGCCGGCCTGTGCTCACGAGGCCAGCCGAGGTATGAAAGACCATCGGAGGTGGGCACAATGCTTCTGTATGCAAATAAACAAGCCGGCCATCATGTGATTCCGTGTCCTCTTTCAGCTTCTCGTCTGCTGGTGCATTGTCTACATGTGTGCTTGTGTGCATGTGTGCATGTATGCACTAACCACAAATCGGTTGGCAATTTGTCTCCTCTTCCCATTCTCTCTCTCTCGTTTCAATTGCACCCAGCAACAAGAGACCGTTTTTGCTTAGCCGCGTCTAATTCTGCAGATTATTTGAGTTACTCATCTTCATCTGCCGGTTTGCGCAAAATAAGGGCTTCACACCATTCCGTCCGATGGCCCACCTCCGCCCATTCTCCCATTCTCCCATTCTCCCATTCTCCCATTCTCCCATTCTCGCGTACGCACCCGCCACCACATACACACACAACCTGACAACCGCCTACAACAGCAGACAGCGTCTGCAGATGCTCTTGAAGAAGGCATGCGCCTAGAAAGTGTTAGTCTTCCTTTAAACACGCTCCTGACGTACCATTTGCCCAACGCCTTGCCCACTTTTCTCGACAGCTGACAGGATTGTGGCGTTGGCAACGTGGACGAAGAGTTGCCTGATGTCCTCTTTTCTCCTCGACAGTCCTTGCAGCTGACACAAATTGTCATTAACAATCGATCATCCTTCGTCACCCCAAACGCAATGAGGTGGACACATTTCACATTTATGACCTGCTGGCACTGTCAGAGCCTACTCATAAACGATAAGTAGGCAGTGCAGTCGATTGTGCTAGCAGAAACAACTTTGCTTCTTCAACAAGCCGACTTGAGAAAAGGAAACGGGAAAAGGTCTGTCCTTCCTCGAAGGGCCCATCTGGCAAAGCAAAAAGTCGGGTTCGAGTCCCGCTGCCGGTGCCGATGGGACCGAAGCGGGGTCGAAACGGAGGTCCGCCCTGCATGAGACTACCGTTTTGCAGGAAAGGCTATGCGAAGTTGAGTAGAAAAGCCGCGTCTACGCATCGGATTTGAGGAAAACCCAACCGCCGTTGCCTCTGTCGCCTTTCACGAAACATGCTGTGACACATCTCACGCATCTGAGCAACTGGCGGCGCCGAACGTCTACTTATAAACCGAAAAGACAATCAGTAGTGCTGGCTCGAGGCCGTTTTCTCGGCCTGGTCGGAGAAAACGAAGAAATGACCGAGGACACGAGAATAGGTACGTTGTAAATGCGAAGAAAAGTTGCGTTTCGACGAATCTCTTGTTGCATAATTGTTGAGCTCATTTCCATTCTGAGTGATGAAAGTGTTGCCTGAAGAGATTCGACGTTCGGTTCAGCCAGAAAACGATGGCGGATTCCTCTTGACCAGCTGTCGATTGGCTTTACTGCAACATTCATGCTGACGCTGTTTCCGAGGTTGATCTGTTTCGATTCCGGTGAAAGGGTGCTAAGCTTTCGTCCGTCATTTGAAGAAACATCGTCAGAGCAAGGTGTCATCGTCACAACAAAATTGAAGCTAACCAATCAAGAATAATCACCGGTAAATCCATAAAAAGTGGTATATAAATTAAA